AGCCGAGATCGCGCCATTGCACTCCAGCCTGGGTAACATGAGTGAAACTCTGTCTCAAATAAATAAATAAATAAACAACAAAGTTTTAACAGATGAGTGCGATACAACAAAGGTGGTTTTTTAAGAAATCATTTAGCCGGGTGCAGTGGCTCACACCTGTAACCCCAGCACTTTTGGAGGCTAAGGTAGGTGGATTACTTGAGGTGAGGAGTTCAAGACCAGCCTGGCCAACATGGTGAAACCCTGTCTCTACTAAAAATACAAAAATTAGCCAGGTGTGATGGTGTGCAACTGTAATCCCAGCTACTCAGGAGGCTGAGACAGGAGAATCACTTGAACCCAGGAGGCAGAGGTTGCGTTGAGCTGAAATCATGCCATTACACTCCAGCTTGGGCAACAAGAGCAAAACTCTGTCTCAAAAACAAACCAAAAAAAAACCAAACAAACAAAGATAATGTATTAGATAACAGCACTGCATATAAAAAAGGTAAGTATTTCTTGGGAACATTTGTTTTTCTATGAACAGCTTTGTACACAGTAACTCAATTTTGAGGTCTTGAGTTCCGAGAATACTGTGCATCATTTGCTTGGGATCAGACATAGAAGAACTGTAGGCATTGATGGCTGCTCCAGTATATTATTCTCACTCATCTTCACTCACTGAACACCATTAATCTCTTCTGATCATCATCGATTTCTGATCATCAGCCCTCATTCAACAACATTCTAATTAGTACGTTTAAATTATTTAAAGCTGTTTTTATCTTACTGAATTTGTGTCCATTATGTGCTAATACATTACATTTATTGTCAATACAGTATCTATTGAAGTATACAGGGAAAATATAATTCATACATTATGTTTTTCAAAATCACTGCATGCACACATATATCTGGTAATTAACTGTTAACTGGCTTTTGAATGTTTTACAATATTCAGAAACCCTGACGGAAGTCATTTAGGTGGTTTAAGTTGAATTCAAATTAAAATTGGTTAGGATTTTTTAATGAACTGAAAACATAGTATTTTTCCTATTTAAAATAATGGGGACAAATAAAAATAATTAAAAAAATAAAATAATGGGGCCAGATGTGGTGATTCACACTTGTAATCCCAACATTTCAGGAGGCTGAGGCAGATGGACTGCTTGAGCCTAGAAGTTCAAGATCAGATGGGGAAACATAGGGAGACCCCATCTCTAAAAAATTTTTTTTAAAAAGGAGCCAGGCTGTGGTTAGTAGAGGGGGGCTAGGGGAGACACAGCAGGGGTGGGAAGGGTGGGAAGGGATAATGAGGGGAGAAATACCAGATGTAGGTGAGGGGGGATGAAGGCAGCAAACCACATTGCCATGTGTGTACCTATGCAACAATCCTGCATGATCTGCACATGTACCCCAGAACCTAAATTACAATTAAAAAAAAAAAAGATTAAAAAAAAAAAAGGAGACTGGCATGGTGGTGAACAGCTATGGTGACAGCTACTCAGCAGGCTGAAGTTGGAGGATCGCTTAAGCCCAGGAGGTCAAGGCTGCAGTGAGGTGTAATTGTGTCACTGTACTCTAGCCTGAACAAGGAGAGGGAGACACTGTCACACACAAACAATAAATAAACGAAATGTAGGCTCTGAGATCTGGGTCTCTAAAAATTTACTATTCAGTGTACAGAAATAGGTTAGATTCAAATGAGGAAAAAATGTAGTTGGTAAATTTTGTTTTTATTTCCATTTAAGGCAAATACATATTTTATACACAGACACAAACACACATACATATATACATGTATATATTACGATGTATTATATATTAAGACATATTAATATTTTATATATATAACTACCTGGACCATCATTTTGTTCTTTTTCCCTTAAACTAACAAGAAAATCTGGGTCAAAAACTTTTGCTTTCAGAATTTGCTGTAGAAAAATAATCTCTCCTTCACTTTCTTAAAAAACAAAAACAACAAAAAACATCAATAGCCCTAAAGCAATTTCTGCAAGTTTCTTTCTGGTATGGATTATCTGATGCTGCAAAACTGATGTGCTCTGAAGTCCTTCATATCTTTACTACACTCTAAAGGTCTTGTTCTAAAATAAACTATCTGTTGTTCAAAAAGGTATACATGATAAGAGAATGCTTGCATTTTTTTATCGTACTCATAAAATATTCCCACCATTTGAGTTCTCTAACAGTATGTAATGATAATGGTAATCATTTTAATAATAAATATCAGATATTACCCAAAGGGAATTATATGTATTTAATTATTTATAATTTCATCATTATAATAAAATCACAGTATTTTACAAATGAAATTAAGAAATGTATCTGATTTCAGCTAGGATATGGTGAAATGGAGATGATCCTTGATAAAGGATATAATTCAGCTTTATATTCTAGGGTTATACAAATGTAAATTATCTAAGGGGTTTCTGAAGTCATTCTGCATCCAGGTTAATATAGGCCTTCTAAGAATGAGTCGATTCTAAGCAGAAGCAAAAGGATGTCCTACATTCATATAGATATGATATTGATGATGAAGACCTTCTTATATTTAATCACATTCAAGGCTTTCTCAATTATGAAGCTTTATATGTTGAGTAAGTTGTGAAGGACGTCTAAAGTCTTTGCCACACTGGACACATGTATAGGGTTTCTCACCAGTATGGATCCTTTGATGCAGAGTAAGTTCTGAACCACGACTAAAGGCTTTCCCACATTCCTTACATTCATAGGGTTTCTCTCCAGTATGAGTTCTCAGATGTTCAGTAAGGTGTGAACCACGAATAAAAGCCTTCCCACATTGTTTACATTCATAAGGTTTTTCACCTCTATGAATTCTCTGATGTTCACTAAGCTGTGAGCCATAAATAAAGGCCTTGTTACATTCCTTACATTTGTAGGGCTTTTCACCTGTATGAATTCTTTGATGATATGTAAGTTGTGTAGTACGAACAAAGGTCTTCCCACATTCCTTACATTCATAATGTTTCTCACCATGAATTTTCTCATGTTGAGTAAGATATGCAACACGAATAAAAGCCTTTCCACATTCCTTACATTCAAAGGGTTTCTCACCTGTATGAATTCTCTGATGTTCACTAAGTTGTTTGCTACAAATAAAGGCCTTTCCACATTCCTTACATTTGTAGGGCTTCTCTCCCGTATGAATTCTTTGATGTTGAGTAAGATTAGAATTAGAAATAAAAGCTTTCCCACATTCTTTGCACTTATAGGGTCTCTCACCTGAATGAACTCTCAGGTGGTAAGTAAGTTGTGAGCCACGAAAAAAGGCCTTTCCGCATTCTTTACATTCATAGGGCTTCTCACCTGTATGAATTCTCTGATGTTCATTCAGTTGGGAGGCACATAAAAAGGCTTTCCCACATTCTTTACATATATAAGGTTTTTCACCAGTATGAACTCTCTGATGATATGTAAGGTGTGAACCAAGAATAAAGGCCTTTCCACATTCCTTACACTCATAGGGTTTCTCACCACTATGAATTCTTTGATGGTAAGTAAGTTGAGAGCCAAGAATAAAGGCCTTCCCACATTCTTTACATTCATAAGGTTTTTCACCACTATGAACTCTCTGATGAAGCGTATATTGTGAACAGTAACTAAAGGCTTTTCCACATTTCTTACATTCATATGGTTTCTCTCCTGTATGAACTCTCTGATGTTCAGTGAGCTGTGAACCACGAATAAAAGCTTTCCCACATGCTTTACACTGATAAGGTTTTTCATTAGTATGAATTTTCTGATGTTGAATGAGATCAGAACTACGACCAAAGGCCTTTCCACATTCCATACACTCATAAGGTTTCTCACCAGTCTGAATTATCTGATGTTGACTATAGCTTGGCTTTTTGCTGCAGGTATTCCTATGCTTCCTGACTTTAGAGCGTTTTTCTGTATTATGATTTTTCTCATGTTGAATAAGGCATGACAGGTAGCAAAAATCTTGTCTACATTCCTTACATTTGTGCAATTTTTCCTTGGTAGGAATTATCTGGTGAAAAGTAGAAGAGGTTGAATGGCTTTCAGTGGCCTTTTCTTCACAGGTAATTTTGACATACATGTAAAGTCCTTCCTGACTTGCTTCTTGACCCCCTAAGTTGTCTTTGCACTCCATATTGTCTCCAAGACCATTGTATTGAACGTGATGGTTGATAAACTTCCCCATATTCTCCCACCGGAGTGATTCCATTTCATAAATTTCCTTTTCTGAAGATAACTTGTTAATCTCACGACTGGATTCCAAGTCTGCAGAATAACAAGGAAGCAAATTCCTGCTTTTGTTTACAAGGAGAAATAATTCTATGGTAAAAAATGACAGATAAAAACAATTCTCATAAGAATAGAATGGCTTAAACAGTACAAAAATATTTTGTGCCATTTTTCTTTAAAGGCACAAGGAAAGAATAAAGAACAAGGAGAGCTTATAGGAAAGAAGGCGATTAGAAAAATAGGTTAAGTCAGTGGTTCTCAAACTTTGGAACAGCTTAGAAACACCCAGGAAGCTTATAAAATAGAACAGAAACACCCTCTTGAAAAGAAACAGATGTCTAGCTGGACATACAATCTATCAACAAATCCTATTGGCTCTCCTATCAACATTTATTAAGAATCTGATCACCTCCACTGCCACCATCCTAGGCCAAGTCACCTATCTCTCACCATCGTAACCTTTTAGCTGGTTTCCCTACTTTCATCCTTGCTTCTGTAATCTTATTCTTCACAGAGCAGCCAAAGGAATTCTCTTAAAATGTAGTTTATATCACATCATTCCCCTGCTAAAAACCTTCCAATGGTTTGCCATCTCAGGATAAAATCCGAAGTCCTTAATATGGCTCACAAGACCCTATACAAGCTTGCCCTTGGCCACTTTTCTTGACGTGGCATTTCCTAACATGGCCACTTTTCTATATCATCACCTACCACTCCCCTAAGTATTCATTTGGCTCTGGTCATATGGCCCCCTTGGTGTTAAAAAGTGTCAGGTCAAGCATATGCCTCTGTGTTTACAGTTTTGTCTTTAGAATGCCCTTCCTATAGATATACGTATGGCTTATTCCCTCATACAGTTTTCTGCTCAGCTGCCACATTATCAAAACATACAACACATAACTGTACCTGTATTGCATTTTTCACTAATGGATATACCATTTCGAAAGTCTGACTACTGTCTGTCTGTCCCATGCTTAATCAAAGCAAGGACTTTGTTTCATATACTGCTTTATCTCTAGTGCCTAATGTCATTCCTGCACATTGTTGGCATTCAATATTTGTCAATTTTTAAATGTAAATGTTCCTTCATTCACAGATCTCCTTAGATGCTTCTCATACAACACAAAGTTTGAGAACAGAGCTAATAATCTTTCAGTGGTTTACCCTTGTACTTAGAACAAAATCCAAACTCCTATCCATGGCCTACAAGCCCCTTTATGATCCAATTCTTTCTTAAATTTCTCTAATTTCTTCAAAATTACCTTTTAAGTCTCATTTTGAGCCACTACTATCTTCGGGAACAATGCTCTAATCTTATTGGCCTGAGAACATGTCAAATTCCCATTTTAGGTTTTCTATATGCCATTCCATCTGCCAAGAATGCTAAGTGGCCACCTCCTTTGCTTCTGAAATATCCTAGCTTAAATGTTAGCTGCTCAGAAAGACTGTCCTGGATCACTTTAATTAGGTCCATGCCATGTATTTTCTATACCTATGATTTATTCCTAATTCTTGTTTGAATGTTTGCAATTCTAAAATTTCATTTATTTATCTGTTGATCTTTCTACTCCTCAAGTTCTACATGTATGGGGGGAAAATTTCTGTTTTATTATATAGCTATATCACAGAGCACAGTATACATACAATGTTTTGTTCCTTTCATATAGTTTTTTAGGTCTTACTTTCCAATATTTTCTACTTAAGACCAAATGTTCTTTTATTTCACAAAGAAGTACCTCAAAATGTCCTAGAAATAGTGACAAGTTTACACAATAAAGATGTTATGTTATTCTGAAGAAAGAAGTTGGGGAACAAGTGTACTTTACAAATGTGGAGAAACTCTATCTGATGTAACTGGATCAGCAGGCACAGGCTCTCTGACCACTGTGTATAGGCTGGAGAATAACAGAGAGTGGTAATGGGAAGAAAAATACAAATCAGTAAGTTCAAATTTAAACTGTCTTTTAGAAATAAGCCTCAGAAACTTGAGAAAACATGCTTTTGCTGAAAAGCAAAAAGAAATTATAAAAACAAAAGCAACTACCTCCCACCCCCACCCTGCCATATACACAGCACAGCTCAGTTTAACGCCAATTCATGTCAGCAAAATATCTTGGAACAAGATAGATCCTGCTTTTATTTTGTTTCTTTTATAGAAGAACAATATGATTTATAAAACACTTTGAAAGAAATCAATGGGTTTATGGTGATTAAGGGAACACTATAAGGAATCAAATAAATTCAACTGGAACCCAAAACAGCTACCTGTGTGCTAGTGGCCTAACAAAAATGGGAAGAAATATAAATCTAATATGATTCTGGGTTAGGAGGCACTATAAGAACATAGGAAGGTGCTAAACAGAAATCTAGAGGAATGAAGAAAAGGTGAAGATTGGAATACCAAAGTCTCAGAACTGTGCCCAGAATGAGGGGTACATATAAAAATGTATTCAATTAAGTAGCAGCTCTTTTTATTGTCATTAATGAAAAACTATAAGGTGAAAAAAAAAAACTGCAAAAGGGGTGATGAGTGAAGACAACGAAATGGAGTCTGAAAAGGTGGAATCATTTTAGGAAGTTTCTTTTATACTTGACCCCATCAAGTCCTACTGAATATATCTCCTAAGTAGGCCTTGAACCTGTTAATTTAGCACCAATACCTCTGCTGACACTCAGGAAGCCCAAAGCATTTTTTTTTGGAGATAGAGTCTCACTCTATCATCCAGGCTGGAGTACAGTGTCGTTGATCTCAGCTCAATACAACCTCCACCTGCAAGATTCAAGCAATTCTGCCTCAGCCTCCCAAGTAGCTGGGATCACAGGTGTGTGTGCCACCATGGCTCATTTTTATATTTTTAGTAGAGATGAGGGCTTCGGCATGTTGGCCAGGCTGGTCTCCAACTCCTGGTCTCAAGTGATCCACCCACCTCAGCTGCCCAAACTGTTGGGATTACAGGCATGAGCCACTGTGCCCGGCCCCAAAGCGTCCTGAACCACAACAAAAACCTACTCAGTAATGTTATGAGACCATTTGTTTTAATCTCCATTTGGCAGACAGAATGGAATAGTAAATATGAAAATCACATTATGTCACTGTCTTAAGATTCTTCAATAGCCTGCAAAAAATTGGGGGATAAAATCTAAACTCTTCCGCACTATTTTTCAAACTTCTTTTGACTGTAACCTCATAGTAAGAAATGTATATTATGACTGAGTAAATACACTCAAACATAAAACAAGTATGTCATAAAATTATCTTTGCTATTATATAGCAAAGATAAATATACTCATATTTTATTTTCTCTCCTGTTTTATTAAAAACAGTAACAAGTGTTGCTTATAATCTACTAGGTCATATTAATAACTTCTAGCAGGTTTTGCCTGGCCTGGCTCCAGTCAGCCTCTCCAACTCCCTGTGGCACCTTTGCCTCATGAGGCTCCAGCTGCAAAGGCCCTCTCTTAATACTTCATATACAACAAGCTCCACCCTCCTGTGGCCTTCAGTACACTGTTACCTCTGCTAGGAATGCTCTTCCCTCTTCTCTCTACCCTCAGTCTCCTTATCTGTTTTTCATTCTTTCAGGGCTCACCAGAAACTTTATGTACCTTTACATTTCCTGAGAAGCTGTCTCCAATCCCAAGCTCCTAGCAATGCTGTTCCAGTAATCTGCCTTCTGTTAAGACAGCCACTGTACTCACTACAGTCTACAAGGAAAGCCTCCATAGCTCTGGATGCTCGTAAGACCTCCACATCCTGCTATTAAGGCTGGCTCCTCCACGGAGATCTCAATTTCCATAAGCTCTCAGTGTGGTAGTCCTACTATCCTTAGGTTATAAAATGAATAATAAAAAATAATAATAAACCTACTGACCCCTAAAAGACCACTAGAGGCCAATCCTGTAATGCCTGATATCTCTGAGTTATCTCAGTACTCTTAAAAGCCTTGGCTTCCTGAGTCCTTGATCATCACTAGGACTCTTATCCCATCCATGTCCTACTTCACTCCAAACTATGCCTTTTGGAACTCACAATGTACTTTCTACAAAATCCTCTACAGCCTCTACCTTCCCTCTGATTATTCTCTTCACCTTCATGATCCTATTGAAACCTTGAGTACAGTACTTGCCCAGAAATAATGTTTTCCTTCATGTCCTTCCCTCCACCTCGCTTCACCTAACCTCTCCCAAGGTAGACATAATTATAGCAAGTCAGCACCAACTCACCAAGGAATCAGATATACAAAGAGAAGTACTCAATGTTAATTTTTCTACAAGTACTCCTAATCATGACATTTACCGTCATAGAATGAATTGTATTCTATAGACTCTTTGAAGCAACTCTAAACTCTTATTATTACCCAATGAGAAAGCCAAAGAGAATAATTAAACACAGGACTTTCACTTCCTGTTCCATACATTGATTGGCTCTTTACCCCTATTCACAGAATTAATCTATATCTAAACCTCCAGGGATTCATTAAGTATTTTAAGAACCTACTACCAAATTCAAATACTACCAAACTCCTGAATAGTCTCCTATAAATAGAAGGCATTAGAGCAGTCATAGTAAAAACAGAAAAACAACAAAAAAAACCCCACCCCTTCATATCCTCCACCTTTGACTACCAAAAGCATATGTAGAATCCCCAAATGCTGCACTCACTGTTCCTGCAGCCACATTACTATAATTAATAGGCTGGAGTATAACACAAATTACTATAATTTTAAATCTACTAACACAAGCATATAGCCTATCTACTTCTTACCACTATGAAGAATAATTATAACAAATTCTATTTGTTCATACTAAACAGACTTAAAAGCACTCACTGTGTATTCCTCTGTAACTCATATAACATTACTAATTATAGCTTTTCTCACCTAAATGCCATGAAGTTTTATAGGAGCCACAGCCCTAATAACTGCCCATGACAGCACAACATCAAAATGATTTTGCCTTACAAATTCAAACCATGATTCCAGGCATGGTATCTCACACTTGGTAATCCCAGCACTTTCCTCACCTCAGGTCAGGAGTTTGAGACCAGCCTGGCCAACATGGTAAAACTCCATCTCTACTATAAATATAAAAATTAGCCAGGTATCATGGTAGGCACCTGTAATCCCAGCTACTTGGGAGATTTGAGGCAGGAGAATTGCTTGAACCCAGGAAGTAGAGGTTGCAGTGAGCTGAGATAACACCACTGCACTCCAGTTTGGGTGACAGAGTGAGACTCCGTCTCAAAAAACAAAAACAAACAAAAAACCCAAATTGAAACTATGAACAAATCCACAGCCAAATCATACACAAGGTTCCCCAACTTATGACACTTAGACTTACGATTTTTCAACTTTACCATGGTGAGAAAGCAATACAATATTCAGTATGCTCCTTGACTTACCAAGGGGTTACATGGAATGATTTAACAGTATTTTTGACATTATCCAGAAGTAACCCCAATGTATGTTGAGGAGCATCTGTACTATTAGCTCTCAGACTACAGACATTACTTCCTTTAACAAAAACATGATAAATAGGGGCTAGCCTAACTAACCTAGCCTTTTGCACAATTTTTTTGGCTCCTAAGGCCAGCAGATTACTTCTAACCTTTAAAAGTTTAGAAAGCCATATTGTTATATATGGAGGCATGAGTTAGCAGCTGATAGCCTTACTATCAACTATTAACCTGAATGGAGAATTATTTGAAATTATATCATTTTTATGATCTAATTTTGCCATTAACCAAATAGGACTAATGTACTAATTATGGCCATATAGTCTCTCTATCTATAAATCACATCACAATGAGAGGGGAACTTCTTGTTGCCTGTCCAGTGCCAGGCCCATACCTGTGCCCCCTCTCCCAGTCCTCTGTGATGAAAATCCCAAGGCCAGGGTTCCCCTTCATTTCCTGTCCAATTCCCTGAGAAAGCAGCCAACAGAGACCCCCTCCCCCTGAAGTGGCTGGAGGGACCTCAGGCCCCGAATGCCTGGAGACAGAGGAGGCGCCCCAGTCCTCAGCCTCACTGGCAGGCCCGGAAGTGCTGAACTCCAGGGGCTCAGGCGAGGAGGACATGGAAGTGGGCACCTTCCAGGACCTGGCGTTGCTAGGGGTGGCGGTGGTGCCTGAGTGATCATCCAAGCTGGCTGGGTCTTCTTCTGGCATCATTTTCAGGGAGACAGTAAACAAGGAGTTATCAAAGGACATGTCTGTGGTGTTGAAGTTAATCTGGGCCCAGCAGGATTCTCCATCTCTTTTCTTCTGTAAATTTTTGAGTTTAACTTTTCTGACCACAAGGGCAACAGCTACCAGCCCAGCAAGGAGGAGGAGGGCACCAGCTAGGCTCAGGGAGAGCGCCAAGATCCAAGTGGGCACTGGGAAGATGCTCAAAGGCTCGCTGAGGTCTGACAGCTGGGGCTGGTTGTGCTCGCCTATCACTCTATACTGGCAGTGGAAGGGTACCCCTGGAGCCTCATTGCTGCTGCCACTCAGGTTGAATGTCACTCCACACTGGTTAGGTGGGGCCTGCAGGAGCTGGACCACCTGCCCCCCTCGATACAGTGTGGAATTCGCTCCCAGGAAGTCCCCGGGGGCCACGCATGCAATGTGGATGGTGTCCCCTTGGCTGCTTGGGTATGGGGGCACCAGCCGGATGGACAGTGCTGGGATTGCCAAGGAGCGAGGAAACTGAGCCTGATGATCTGAGGTGGAACAGTTTCATCCCAAAACCCGTCCGCCCATCCCCTCTCGTGCCCGTCCCACCCCAAAATACTGTGCTCCATGACACCGGTCTCTGGTGCCAAAAAGTTGGGGACTACTGGTCTAAAAGACCATGTCAGGATTTACCATGGATGCCAGGGGACTCACAGAGAACAGAGAGGAGAGAAGCCAGGCAGGTACCTTCCTGGGACTGATTTGGAGTGGGAGAAGCTCCCTAACATGGTGAAACTGAGTGAGTGAGAGTCCCTAAGGAAGCCAGACTTCCCACATGGACCTTTGCAATCCTGGGCACAGGAGAACCCCCAGCCCCAACCCCTGGGCCACTAGACCAACACAGAAAGCTACCTAGAGTTTTTGCAGAGGCACTGCATCAAGCCCATGTGGAGCACCACAAGCCCCAGATCCCTCAGCACCTTGGTGCCAGCTGCCATAGCCCCAGTGGAGGCTGCAGTCACAGTGCTGAGGAGCCGTTAGACTGCCCAGCCCCTCCTCACCAGGCAAGGCTCAGCTCCACCTGCCCCCGCCTGAATGCTGCAGCACAGTGACCCTGTCCCCACTTGAACTCTGCAGGCAGGCACACCTCCGCATTCCGCAAGGAACTTCTCAGATAGCAGACCATGAAACCCATGCCCTACCTCCTCTGAGGCGGCTAAGGCTCACCAGCTCAGACTTTCAGCGCAGCAACCGCACCTCCGCCTAAACTCTGCGGTGGGCTGCAGCTCTGTGTTCCTCTGGAGCAAAACTCCCAGACGTAACAGATAATGCTTGGCACCACTGCATGCCCCCAACAGTGAAGTTCTGCATTGTTTGGGAGGAAGGGAAGTGCAAACATGCCACGTGCACTTTTGCAACCCTGCAGCTGCCAGTCTCCATTGCAGGAGTCCTGCCCTCTCCAGTTAGAGGCCCACAGCACAGCTCCCCTGTCCCCACCTGAACATTTCACCTGCAGACCAGAGCCCTTCTGAAAATCCAACCCCCACATACCTGTAATATTCCCTTGGGCTCCCACCACCTAAGCGTTCTGTAGGACCCTGCATGAGAGTTTGGCCAGTGACCTGGGAACCAAACTGTCCCACCTCCCCACATCATAGCCAGCACCTGAACTCTGGGCTAGCCTGACTGCAGTCCAGCCCCTTCAGGACTCACACAGGCTGTCCAGTGGGACAACGAGGGGCCTGGGAACTGGGAAACTACCTGCCCCATTCCAACTCTGCTGGTACCTGACCATTTCCCCCAGGGCCTGAGGTGAGACCAATCCAACTAGCTGACACCACCAGAAACAACACTCACTCACACAGGCCCTGTAGGGGAGCCCCCCTTCAACAGGAAGCAGCAGTACTGTGACATCAGAAAACAGGTGAGCCCTAATCAACGGGGAAAGAATTGCCTATTCAATAAATGGTGCTGGGATAACTGGCTAGCTATATGCAAAAGAATGAAACTGGACCCTTAGCTTTCACCATATAAAATAACTCAAGATGGCTTGATATAGTACATGCAGAAGCCTCTGACGATCTTATCAGTTTCTCATTACATTTTTCAGGTGTTTCATCAATTTTAGGAGCTACTAATTTTAATTTTATTACAATTATAAAACCACCAGCCGTATCTAATATCAGACACCACTATTAATTGGAGCTATGCTTTCATTACTCTCTCTCCCAGTACTAGCAACCAGCATCACCATACTACTGACAGACCATAACCTTAATATACTTTTTTTGATCCAGCTGGAGAAGGAGATCCAATTTTAGGTCAACATTTATTTGTTTTGTTTGTTTATCCAAAAGCATATATTCTTATTTTACCAGGTTTTGGAATAATCTCACATATTGCTACCTACTATTCTGGGGAAAAAAAAGAACCATTTGGCTATATAGAAATAATATGACCCTTAGGCCTGTAATCCCAGCACTTTGGGAGGCCAAGGTGGGAAGATCACGAGGTCAGGAGTTCAAGGCTAGCCTGGCCAATATGGTGAAACCCCACCTCTACTAAAAAAAAAAAAAAAAAAAAAAAAAAACAAAAAAAAAAAAAAAAAAAAAAAAAAAAAAAAAATTAGCTGGGCATGGTGGCACACGCCTGTAGTCTCAGCTATTCAGGAGGCTGAGGCAAGAGAATTGCTTGAACTGGGACTCGGGAAGCAGCAGTTGCAGTTAGCCAAGATCACACCACTGCACTCCTGCCTGGGCTACAGAGTAAGACTCTGTGTCAAAATAATAATAATAATATGACCCATTATATCAGTCTGGCTCATAAGCTTTATCATATAAGCCCACCATATATCTACAGCAGGGAGACACTGACACCTGAACATATTTCACGCTAGCTACTATAATTATTGCTATTCCCACAGGAGTTAAAGGATTTAACTGACTAGCAACCCTACATGGAGGTAATATTAAATGATCTCCAGCTATATTATGAGGTTTGGCTTTATTTTACTACTAACAGTTGGAGGCCTAACAGGAACGGTTCTAGCTAATTCATTAGCAGACATCAATCCCCATAATACATATTATGCTGTAGCACATTTCTAACATGTTCTATCAATAGGTGCCATCTTCACCATTATAGGATTTCTTTACTGATTCCCATATTTTCAGGTTATACACTCAACCTGAGCCAAAAATCCATCTTCTATTTGTAGGTGTTAAACTGACTTTCTTTCCACAACATTTTCTTGATTTACCAGGCATGCCACGACAATACTCCAATTATACTGATGGATATACAACATGAAATGCCATCTGCTATGGTTTGGATGTGGTTTGTACGCACTAAATCTCATGCTGAAATTTAGTCCCCAGTATGGTGTCTTAGGAGATGGGGTTTAGTGGGAGGTGCTTGGCTCATGGGGGCTGGTTCCTCTTGAACAGATTAATGCCCTCCCTCAAGGGTGAGTGAGCACTTGTTCAACTCATTCTCAAGAAAGCTGGTTTTAAAAAAAAGCCTGTCACCTTTCTCCTCTCTCACCAGGTGATCTCTGCTCTGCACACACTGGCTCCCCTTTACCTTCCATCATGAATGGAAGCAGCCTGAGGTCCTCACCAGAAGCCAAACAGACACAGGTGCCATGCTTCTTGTACAACCTGAAGAGACACGCACCAAATAAACCTCTTTTCTTTATAAATTACCCAGCCTCAGGCATCCTTTATAGTAACACAATATGAACTAAGACATCTATTATACTTGAATTAGTTCCACTCTAACACTTTGAAAAGTGATCAGCATCTATGTTTAAATACCAAAACTAGCAATATCCATGGAATTTTTTTTTTTTTTTTTTTTTTTGGAGTCTTGTTCTGTGTCACCAGGCACCAGGCTGAAGTGCAGTGGCGCGATCTTGGCCCACTGCAACCTCTGCCTCCTGGGTTCAAGCAATTCTCCTGCCTCAGCCTCCCAAGTAGCTGGGACGACACGCACTTGCCACCACGCCCAGCTAATTTTTGTATTTTTGTAGAGATGGAGTTTCACCATGTTGGCCAGGATGGTCTTGATCTCTTGACCTTGTGATCCGCCCGCCTCGGCCTCCCAAAGTGCTGGGATTACAGGCGTAAGCCACTGCACCCGGCCTATTTTTTTTCAACAATTCTAGCACTATTTACTTCCATTAAAATTTTTTGAAACATGCCTGTTCTTAAAATCCATCACCAAAGAACACGGACGCCTTAAAACATGAGATCCCCCTTGGGAAAAAAAGCAAGCTAAAATTTATTCACCTCTTTCACTATTCCTACAATAATAGGACCACTTATTTATATTCTAATCATTTCATTCCCAAACATCATGTTTCCTGCCCCCAACTGCCAAATCCATAATAGATTAGTCTGTGTTCAACAGTGATGAGCACAAGTCGTACTAACACAATAACACATGTCAAAAGGATGTTATTATCAATAGCAGCAACAACTCTTAAAGCACAATTTCAAGCAACCACCCTATTTTTTTTTTTACCACTACCACTCAAGTTAGCAGATCATTTGCCCGTATACCCACCCTTCCAGCATTTTATTTTATTTTATTTTTTGAAATATGGTTTTGTTCTGTCACCTAGACTGAAATGCAGTGGCATGATCATGGCTCACTGCAGCCTCAACCTCAGGGCTCAAACGATCCTCTCACCTCACTCTCCCAAGTAGCTGGGACAACAGGCATGTGCCACAATGCCTGGCTACTTTCTATTTTAAGTAGAGATGGGGTTTTGCTATGTTGCCCAGGCTGGTCCTGAACTCCTGGTCTCAAGCAACTTACCCACTTCAGCCAAAGTGCTGGGTGGATTACAGGCTTGAGCCACTGTGCCCAGCTTACCATCATTTTAAAGACTCTCCTTTGAAAACAAAACAAAACAAAACAAAACAAAACAAAACAGAAACCTCTCTTGATTCTGTGGTTTACCCTGCAGTAGATAGGAGCCGCAGGGTGAACCACAAAATCAGGAGAGTGGCAACATTTCTCAAGAGGTATGCATGCCTCCTGTCTCTACCTTTTGCTTTTCTTTCTCTCCTACCACTATAATTAACATTTTGCCACATTTCCTTCCTAAATTTGTTCCATGGATTTTTATGTAGTTGAAATAATACTGCACATGCAAACTGTAATCACACTTCTTTCCCCTAATTATTACAGAACTGTTCTTAACAGTCTAAAATATTTTTAAACTCTATGTGTAACTTTGAGGGTTCCTCAAATGGGCCCTCAACATTGTCTGGTGAGTTAATTCACTGTCCCACTCTAGTTTTTATTGTTGACTTATTTCTTTCTCACTCTCTTTTAAATACTCTATAATGAGGTTTTTGTTCCTCTCATTTCCAAACCCACCTTGTCAGGGTCACCAGCACTTTTCATCTTGCCAAATCCAATGGCCAGTTTTCAGCCTTCCTCTTACTTGACCTTTTAGCAACGTCTCTCTGTTAACTGCTTCCTCCTGGCTTCCAGTACACTGCATTCCTTCCTCCTAGGTCACAGGTTACTCAGGTAGTCCTCAATTTCCTTTGCTAGATTTTTTTCCTGACTGAATGCTGGAACACTGCATGGTTTAGTCCTTGAACTGTACCTTGCCTTCCATCTAAACCAATTCTCTTCAAAATCTCATCCAGTTCCTCGATACAAAGATTAATTCCATATTTATCTCTTCAGTCCTGACTATCCCTCCACAGGCTTCCAAATGCATATCTAACTTTACCACACGGATATCTAATGAGAATATCAAACACCAAACTCTTGACTTCCTTCTCCAGATTTCCAAACCCTGATGCCTCTATTGCCAATCTTCAAAACAACTCCATTATGAAGGTATTAATTCTACCTTCAAAATATAACCTGTTCTCATCAGGTCCACATATTAAACCCAATTCCAAGCCACTATTATCTTTAGTGTGAACTTCTGAACTAGTCTTCTGATTAGTCTTCCTGCTTTCATTCTTATCCTCACTGCCCACATAGCACTCAAAGTGACCTTAAAACAAAGATCCTTTACTTATCTGCAAAAAATCAGCCAGGGGCTCACTATCACACTGAGAATAAAATCTTACTTCTTGCAATGGCCAAGAAGGTCCTACATGATCTGATCTCTGCCTGTTTCTCTAACCTTGCCTCTAATTTTCACTTTCAGTGGCCACACTGATTGTCAAGCAAGTGAAGCTTAATTTCTTTCAGGATCTTCTGTTCTCTCTGCCTCAACGCACATTTATTTCCCTGATTTATAGCCAACTTTATTCAGGTCTCAAGTCAAATGTTACCTCCCTTGAGCTATATCATTCCTGGTACTAACCTATGAACATAGCAAACTCTCAATAGGTATGTGCTTGCTGCAGATACTTATCAAAGTTTAACTGTAAAAGAGTAACTGGGAAAGAACACTAATTTGAAAAACAGATAAAAGCAATGTCCCCAAAAGATACCAGACCAAAGGTTTTATTTAAAAAAAAAAAAAAGAGAGAATGTAAAAAATAAGAGTGGTAAGTGGGAAATGGGAGGGAGGTTCCACTGGGAACTCATAGACATAACCTTCCTGTTCTCCCTAGGTCTCAAGCCTTCTTTCCACAGGTCTTTGAAGAGAGCTTCACACAAACATCTCAAAGTGCTGCCACCTACAGATCAGCTGTATTATTAGTAGCAATAGCTGACACTGTGTGACAAGCCCTTATTCACCTTAACTGTCTTCTTGTCATGGTTCTAATCACCATCCAGGGCTCCTTTCCTTGCTCCAATAAGAAAAATACATTTGGCTTAGGGACTGCATATCCAGCTTAAAATAAAGGAAACGGTACACGGTCATGCTAAGGGATTCCCAGATTCAAATCCAGTCTATTGGCTAACAAAGAAGGGAGACACTGACGGGAAGTGACAGGGAAAAATGTGACAATCTAAAGGATGAGAAATAAAAAGACAAACAGTGGAGCTCTCCATTCCTACTTCCACTCAAACTTAAGCCTTTCCTTAGGGAATGGAGATCAGAAATTGACAATGAATGAGGCAGAAATGATGGGGAACAAATTCTGAATCTTATGTAGGATGATCTTACCCAATGAGATCAGGTTGCTGTAGTTCTCCAACATCACATCCCTGTACAAGTCCCTCTGAGCAGGGTCCAGGCATTCCCATTCCTCCTGAGAGAAGTCAATGGCCACATCCCTGAAAGTCACCAACAACTGAAACAACAAATCCATCATTTGTGAAAATATGGTAATGATTCTGAAGTGAAATGACAAGAAAATGGAGGCGGTAATTGAAGGAAGGGGGTAACACAAAACAACAGGAAATTGGTTGCCTAAACCATAGTATTCTCTATCATTCCTATTGCCACAGACAAAACTTCCTCTGTACAACAGAACAATTCCATTATCCAGAAAGGTCTGAAAATTTAAAAAGCCAGCTGTGTGCAGTTTCTCATTTCAATAAAACACTGCATGCATTTATTTCACAGCAGATTTTAATTGCACAGATTACGCTTTCAAATCCTTAATAACTAGTACATTCTCAATAAATACAAGTTCTTGTTCTCCCTTCTGCTTTTAAAGAAAAAGACTTTTAAAAATATTTTTTTCCAAACAATGTTTACCAAATCTCTAGGTGAGAAAATAAAATTTGAATATAACCTAAGAATTTTTTGAAGACTCAGATTCATCAAGTTACAATATAATGTTACAGAATAAAATGGACATGTGATATTTCTGTTTTATATACAAAATGATCTGCTTATGTGGGAGTATTTGAATTGACAAATTCTCTAATGACTTTGGGCTCTTAGAATCTATAATTCTTAAGACAGTATGCATCTGGCATGTTTCATTTGCTCCTACTTTCCATGTTCCTTCCTATGGCAAGGTAGGCTAGGATGCCAGTACAGGTGCACAGAGACATCACTCTGAACTGGTACATTACAGGAAATCCCAAGGTAAACTTGACTATGATCGTCCTCTCTCATTGGTTCCTAGGCAAGAAGGCTGCGGTAGGCAGAATAAAGGCCCCCCTGCCCCAGCAAAGCATGTCCACAACCTAATCCCTGAAACAGTATCAGTACTGACTCAATGTTAAAGAAAAGCTTGGTTGCTTAAATATAATTATTAATTTGCTTGAATTTGTAGATTATTCACTCAAACAGCCTCAGAAAAACAGGACCTTCAACAGAGATGAGAGAAAACATGCAGACTAACGACTCTGGGAATGGGCTGACCAGCCTGATAAGAATAGGCTGACAGCAACTACAGAAGGCCACAAAACATTGACCAAGAAAGCAATGGCCAAGAAGTCAATGACCTGAGACTGCACGTTTCACAAGAATGTTTTGATCATCATTTTTCCTGATTTCCCTTAAAAATCCCTGATGTGGAAACACAACTCAGTGAAGTGGTCTTTGAACACTAGTCCACTGCCTCCCCTGAGATGCTGGCTTCTTGCATAAAGTTAACCTTCCTTTCACCAATGCTCATCTCTTGAGTTTTTGGCTTTCAAGTGACGAGTGGCCTGGAGCTGAGTTTGGTTACAAAACCTATGCATCCCTTACCTTACATGGCAAAAGGGACTTAAGAAGGGCAATTAAATGAAGGACCTTGAGAGGGAATTATCCTGGATTATCTGGTTGGGCCCAATGTAATCACATGGGTATTTATAAGTGATAGAGCAAGGCAGGTGAGTAAGAGAAGGAAATGTGATGATGAGAGCAAAGGTCAAAATGTTGTGATTGCTGGCTTTGTAAACAGATGGAGGCCACAAACCAGGGGCCGTGGACAACCCTTAGAACCAGAAAAAGATAAGGAAACAGATTCTCCAGTCATCTAGAACCTCCAGAAGGAACACAGCTCTGCTAATACTTTGATATTATCCCTGTTGACTGATTTTCAGACTTCTGACCAGCAGGCATATAACTCATAATTGTATTGATTTAAGCTCCTAAATTAGTGGTTATTAGTTACAGCAGCAACAGGAAACTATATCAGGAACAAGAGCCCTTCCTTCATAGGACCAAATTTAGAAGCGTCACAGAAAATCTTGCCATACACTGAGACTAGAAATATCCAACCAAAAATGCTGTCACTTTGAAGTGTAAAACTCAGGTTTGTAGAGAAGATCAAACTTTGTCATGTGTCACATTTAAACACTCATTTCTACTTCACCAGACTGTGTACCGTTCTTAAAAGGAGGTACTTCTATTCCCTCAGAGCTCTTGGCAGAAGACTATGCATGTGGACAATGTAGAAATACCTTGTCAAATGAACATCTAAAATGTGTATGAAGAAGGGACAAGCATTGAGGAGAAGGGCTCTTTGGTACTACGGCTTGCTAGAATGGGAGAGTAGTTTGGGAGCAGTTCCCTTAAGGGACCAAACAAGGCAGAAAATTCTGGGATAAATAAATCTGGTATTCACATTATACAACAAAATAATTGTGTTTCAAAAAGGAAAGAAACAGTAACTCACATGGGGCATGGTTTTTTAGAGCCGTCAGAAGTGATCAGTTTTCTGGGTTCCTCTCCTGGAGGTGTGTGAAGTCCACAGAAGCCAGTGCTGCAGAAGGAAAAAAAGCCACAAGATTAGACTTGGCTCACAGCCCACAAAATTAACTCCTCAGAACTACCTTTATGTCCCCACTTTTGGGAGTTTGGAAAAAATCTCGGTCCTTCCACAAACCCAATGGAAGCCAGCAGAAGGGATTCAGGCCAGACCTTTCCTTAATCTCCATGGTAAACAGGACCCTAGGTGCTGCTACTTTCCCACAGCATCTTCTCCTCCACAGTAGCACAGGGACACGCCCAGGGAGCCCTACACTATCCCCCTGGACCCAAACACTAAGTGAGGTGCTTTGCTCCCAATCTTAGGAAGGGGCTTCAGAGACCAAAATGTGGCCTCCTTTCAGACATCATGAACATCAGCTAGACTCACAGACATTTGATAGACACATCAGGGTCAACAGATGAAAACAGTCTCTATCAGAACACAAATGCCTGAGTTCATGGTCACAGCCTCATCCTGATTTATGATTCCCAGAATCCTGCAGTCAAGCATACCCTAAGTCTCAATCATGACAATTTATAATTTTCTTTTTTTTTTTTTGAGACGGAGTTTCACTCTTGTTGCCCAGGCTGGAGTGCAATGGCGCAATCTCGGCTCGGTGCAATCTCGGCCCACCGCAACCTCCGCGTCCTGGGTTCAGGCAATTCTCCTGCCTCAGCCTCCTGAGTAGCTGGGATTACAGGCATGTGCCACCATGCCCAGCTGATTTTTTGTATTTTTAGTAGAGACGGGGTTTCACCATGTTGACCAGGATGGTCTCGATCTCTTGACCTCGTGATCCACCCGCCTCAGCCTCCCAAAGTACTGGGATTACAGGCGTGAGCCACCGCGCCCGGCTGACAATTTATAATTTTCTTCATTAAGCATGTGAGAGCCTCTTTCTGAGGCTATCTAGGGGGGTCCCACCCTAAGTCACCTCATTAGCACGAACTCAGATGTGATCAAAAGTGGTTTATTATGCATAACAAGAGACATTCTCATCACTCAAAATATTCCAAAGATTTTTAGGAGCTCTGTGCCAGAAACAAAGAACAAAGACCAAATTTATTTCTTCTTCATGTTGCTGTTCAGATGGGCTCTCTCTCTATTGCCCAGGCTGGAGTGCAGTGGTAGGATCACAGCTCATTGCACCTTTGACCTCCTGGGCACAAGTGATCCTAACTCAACCTCCTACCTCAACCTCCTGATAGCTGGGAACCACAGGTGCACACCACCACAACCATCTAATTTTCAAAAATATTTTGTAGAAATGGGGGGCTTACTGTGTTGCTCAGGATGGTCTTTAACTCCTGGGCTCAAGCAATCCTCTCACCTCAGCCTCCCTAAGTGCTGAGATTACAGGCATGAGCCACTATGCCCAGCCTGTATTTCTTATTATACCACAAATACTAATGCAAAATTCTGAAATAAAATACTAGGAAACAAAAATCCACAAGCACTTTCTTTTTAAAAGTCATGATTAACTTGGACTTGCCCAGTATCAAAAAGTTGATTTGATATTAGAATGTACATTGATATAATTCATGATGAAACCACCTCTGTAGAATCATAAACAATGAGAAAAATCTAACATGACTGACTCCATTTTGCTTCTGAACTTACAGGCTAAAATTCTGTTTTACATATTCTAGTATGGAGGCTGAGATAACTATGAGAAGGCTTTAGTTTATAGTTAAATTTGGAGGCAAGGAAAACTGACTCCCCTCCTTGCTTGGAGACTAGAGGCACATTCATAAAGCAAGGTTAAAATTATGGCAGAGGCTTGGATTTTGCTTAAAGTCTGGTCATAAACAATGACCTGCCAGTGCTTAGTTTCTTTTTTTGTAAACTGCTTACCTCTCCAGTCACAGTAACTGCGGGTCACAAAATTTATAATTTTCTCAAGTACTCCTATAGATAATAACACATTAATGAAACCTAAAGAAGTAGTCTTTGAGATATTTTTCCAGATTTAGCATTTTGGTAGGCCAAGAGATGTCACCTGTTCCTGAGAACTACCCCTACCAGCTGCTGGAAGTGACTCAGCTGTCTGAAGACACCATTAGAAGCTCCCGTGATTTCACTGCCAGCCAGTCAATTTCTCCAGTTCCCCAGCCCTCTGCCTGCCAAAGTACCCTTTAGAAACCCTAGCCTCCAAATTCTTGGTGAGATGGGCTTGAGAGATTTCTTCCAATTCTCCTTGCTTGGACAGCCCTGAAATAATGATAATAATAATAATAGTTATTATTATTATTATGTGAGACAGAGTCTCACTCTGTCACCCAGGCTGGAGTGCAGTGGCGCAATCTCAGCTCACTGCAACCTCTGCCTCCTGGGTTCAAGCGATTCTCCTGCCTCAGCCTCCCAAGTAGTTGGGACCACAGGTGTGTGTGCCACCACATCCAACTAATTTTTGTATTTTTAGTAGAAATGGGGTTTCACCATGTTGATCAGGATGGTCTCGATCTCTTGACCTCGTGATCCGCCCACCTTGGCCTCCCAAAGTGCAGAGATTACAAGTGTGAGCCATTGCACCTGGCCCCTGAGATTATTAAATTCTGTTTTGCTGCAATATCTGCTGTTCTCATTGGTTTTGGGGGAGCAACAGGCAGGAATAATCTATCAGGCTGTGATAATGATAATAATGGATCTGTGGAAAAGAATCATATTATCTCTGTAAGGGTCAAAAAACACTGGGAAAATTCACTATCCATTCCTGAAAAACACAAAAAATAGAAATTGATGGCTATTTTAACATGATAGAAACAAGGCAAGAATACTCACGACTTTCACTACTATCTACCATTATATGAAACAGTTTATCAACCAATGTAAAAAAACAATAGGCAGTAAGAACAGGAAAAGAAGATGTGAAACCCTCTATATATGCAGATATGATCACACGCCTGAGAAAAACCCATGAGACTCAATGAAAACAAAAACCTCCAACAAATAAGAGAAATTAAACTAGCAGGATATAAAGTTAGCATTAAAAGAAATGGCTTTTATATATAAAACAATAACTACACAGAAAATATAACAAAAGAAAAGTCATAAAAAAGGCAAAATACCAAGGCATAAGCCTAACAAGAATGCATAAAACATATAGGAGAAAAAATGTAAAATACTCCTGTAACACATAAAAATAGATTTTAACAAATGGTTAGAATAATGTTTCTCAACCCAGTTTCCATTTTCCCTACAGGAGCAATTTTAGATATTTATTTTCTAAATCATACCCCCAAGATGAAATTTTAATAGGAAAAATATACTAGATATCTATTTATGTGTTATATATGTATACCTGTGCTTTATAAATAAAAAGGATAAGTATAGAGCTTATTCTTCGTATTCAAAACAGATTAAGAATGACTAAGTAAGAATCCTAAGTAAAAGTTAAAATGGGCCAGGCACAGTGGCTCAGGCCTGTAATCCCAGCAGTTTGGGAAGCCGAGGCAGGTTGATCACCTGAGGTCAGGAGTTAGAGACCAGCCTGGCCAACATGGTGAAACTTCATCTCTACTAAAAATACAAAAATTAGCCTGGCGTGGTGGCACACGCCTATAATCCCAGCTACTTGGGAGGCTGAGACAGGAGAATCACTTGAACCCAGGAGGCAGAGGTTGCTGTGAGCTGACAGCACGCCACTGCACTCTAGCCTGGGCAACAGAACAAGACTCCATATCAAAAAAGAAGAATAATAAAAACCTTTTTTTAAAATTTAAAACAAAAGAGCTAATAGCATTTAACTTTATAACTATATTTGCTAAGTGACTTTTAATTTATTTACTCATAAATTATAATGCATCATATGACATGGAAGTCAGCAATTTATATAACATAAAAGCAATGCAATTTTTAAAATTCACTCAAAACCAGTTTTCCAGCAAAAAGTAAAACAATTAAAAAATCAATTTCTTAAAAATTTTTAGTGAACTTTTGCTAAACAGAATAAATTTTTAACTAATTAGTTGCTAGTTCTTTGTTTAGATATCCTCAATGTTTTGACTTTTCAGCACTTGACACAATTGATGGATTTAACAATGTTAAGCTTTACCCAAGTCCTGTGATGTTGGAAAACCACCACCATTCCAGATACCCTCCCAGCCTTTGTGCACTGGGAAAGGGTTGAATGCAAATAACCACCCTTCCTGATATGGCTCACATAATACTCAAGGATGACTCCCTTTTCTTTTTTAACCTATGACAAAGCCAGACAGAACCTTCAAATTCCCATGCTTTGTCTCATAAATGATTAGCTGAAAAATTAGACACCATTGACCAATCTGAGCAAAATGCTCACTAACTTCACTCTACCAACTTCAGTCCGGCTTATTCTCTTCTCCCAGGTCCTGAAACTCTGGCCTGTTCTTGATCCTCAGCCAGCATACTAATACAGAACAAACCTCTTACCAGGGATTCAAGCCTCTCACCAGATGACTACAGAAAAGAACATCTCTAGCTCAACTACCCCTCCGCTCATCCCACTCCCCTGAATCTAGTTCTTTCTTGCCTGTTTACTCTTCCCTATAAAAGAAAATTTCTTTTTGCCTGACCTTTGCTGTGCTTGCAGATCTTACGCTTTGAAGTGTTCTCCCAGTGACAACACCACTTCCCTTACTGCAATGTTCCTGTGAATAAAGTCATTCCTTACCTAAGTTTGGATTTGTTTTTTTATTTCACAGCTTGAATATCTTTTGTAGAATAATAAAACAAACTACTTTAATTTAACTGTAATTTAATTCTCTAAGCCATGGCATACACAAAAGCACTGAGGGTCAAATACGGACAACATCCAATGTGCACGCAGCTCGCCGCCTCTTGAAATATGACTTCAAGATTGAGCAAGTTCTCCAACTACAGCCACCCATTTGCCATAGTTTTGTAGCACTGATCCTTTTTTTTTTTTTTGGTAGCATTGATCTTGTATACAGGATACATGTATAATTTATGAGCTGTTAACAGCTATGTTGCTTGTGTGATACCATGAAAAACCAGTAAGAGAGAGAGTAAATAATGAGAAATAGTTTACGTGCCATGGCTAACACCTGTAATCCCAGCACTTTGGGAGGCTGAGGCAGGTGGATCATGAAGTCAGGAACTCAAGACCAGACTGCCAACAATGGTGAAACCATCTCTCTACTAAAAATACAAAAATTAGCCAGGGTGGTGGTGGGCGCTTGTAATCCCAGCTACTCGGGAGGCTAAGGCAGAGAACTGCTTGAACCCGGGAGGTAGAATGTGCAGTGAGCCGAGATCGTGCCACTGCATTCCAGCCTGGGCGACAGAGTGAGACTCTGTCTTAAAATAATAATAATTATTATAATGAGAAATAAGATTTTGTCTCTTATTTTATAGTATAGTTGAGCTTTGAAGCACCACAAGCCATTGTACTAAGATTTTGTCCTCCCTGCTAATCAATTTTCATCTCCTTGAAGACAATGTCATCTTCATTAAGAATACATGGGTTGGCTGGGCATGGTGGCTTATATCTGTAATCCCAGTGAGGCCGAGGCAGGTGGATCACTTGAGGTCAGGAGTTTGAGACCAGTCCTGCCAACATGGCTACTAAAAATACGAAAATTAGCCAGGTGTAGTTGTGGGCACCTATAATCCCACCTACTCAGGAGGCTGAGGCAGAGAACTGCTTGAACCCGGGAGGCAGAGATGCAGTGAGCCGAGATCACACCACTGCACTCCAGCCTGGGCGACAGAGTGAGACTCTGTCTCATAATAATATTGAGAAATAAGAATCTGTTGGGTATAGTTGAGCTTTGAAGCACCATTGTACTATCTAAGATTTTGCCCTCCCCCATAACCAATTTTCACCTCCTTGGAGGCAATATCATCTTTTTTTTTTTTTTTTTGAGACGGAGTTTCGCTCTTGTTACCCAGGCTGGAGTGCAATGGCACGATCTCGGCTCACCGCAACCTCCGCCTCCTGGGTTCAGGCAATTCTCCTACCTCAGCCTCCTGAGTAGCTGGGATTACAGGCACGCGCCACCATGCCCAGCTAATGTTTTTGTATTTTTAGTAGAGACGGGGTTTCACCATGTTGACCAGGATGGTCTCGATCTCTTGACCTCGTGATCCACCCGCCTCGGCCTCCCGAAGTGCTCGGATTACAGGCTTGAGCCACCGCGCCTGGCCGGCAATATCATCTTCATTAAGAATATATGGGTTGGCTGGGTGCGGTGGCTCATGCCTGTAACCCCAGGGAGGCTGAGGCAGGTGGATCACTTGAGGCCAGGAGTTTGAGACCAGACCAGTCAACATGGCTACTAAAAACACAAAAATTAAAATGTTGGATACTGTAAAAAATAATGAAATCATGTCCTCTGCAGCAACAGGGATATGGCTAGAGGCCATTATCCTAAGTGAATTAACACAGAAATGAAACCAAATACCATGTTCTCATTTATAAGTGGAAGCTAAGCATTGAATACACATGGACATAAAGATGAGAACATGGACACTGGCAACTACTACAGCAGAGAGAGGAGGAGGAGGGCAAGGGATGAAAACCCACCTACCGGGTTTCTGCTCACTACCTGGGTGACTGGATTATTCATATCCCAAACGTCAGCATCACACAATACACCCATGTAACAAACTTGTACATGTACCCCTTAAATCTAAAATTAAAAGTTGAAATTTTATTTTTAAATAGTTGGATACTGGCATATAAATGAAAAAAAAAAGATTAATGTAACATAATAGAATCTCTCATCTCTCGGGAAAGATGGATTATTCAGTAAATGTTACTGGAGAAAGGTAAAATTGGATCCCCATTTTATACGACATACCAAAATTAACTCCAAATATATAAGAGATCTAAACATTAAAAAATAAATTGGCCGGGCACAGTGGCTCACGCCTGTAATTCTAGTACTTTCGGAGGCCAAGGCAGGTGAATCATCTGAGGTCAGGAGTTCAAGACCAGCTTGACCAACATGGCAAAAGCCAGTCTCTACAAAATATACAAAAATTAGCTGGGTGTGGTGGCGGGTGCCTGTGGTCCCACCTACTTGGGAGGCTAAGGCAGGAGAATCATTTGAACCCAGGAGGTGAGGTTTACAGACAGCCAAGATCTTGCCACTGCACTACAGCCTGGGTGACAACAGCAAAACTCCAACTCAAAGAATAAAAAAAGAAATCATAAAAATGCTAGAAGGAAAAACAGACTGTCATTCTTAACTTCAGAGGGGAAAATTCTGTCTTATAATCATATGAATAAATGTTACTACATTTAAAAATTGCCTAAAGAATACAGACAGATGACAAAATGGGAGAAAATATCTGCAACTTAAAGCAAAAACAGAGACTCCTAAAATCCAAAGAGCTGTATTTTAAAAATCAAGAGAAAATAATCAAGAGAAAGATAGAGAGTCATTATTTTAAATGGACAACAGGCAATTCACAAAAAAGAAAAGTTAATGGCCATTAAACATTTAAAATATGTTCATCCTCATTGAAATAAGAGAAATTCAAAGTGAAACTAAATTGAGAAGACTTCTGATTCCAATACCATTAAGATCCTATTGGACTAACTTCCTTAAAGATACACCTATAGATCTGGACATAATATAAAAAGCAACTAACTGAAGGTGCTGGGCAATGAACTGAAGCAGTATTCCTACAAAAAAATGCACACTTGAATTGAGTCATGAGGAAACATCAAACACATATAAACTGAGAGACAATCTACAAAACAACTGGCCTGTAGATTTCAAGAAAGTCAGGATCACAAAGGATCAAAGAAAAGTCCAGGGATTGTTTCTGATTAAAACAGGCTAAAGAGATGTGATAACCAAATGAAATGGTTGATCCTAGATATGACTCTGGATTGGACGCCAGATAAGGGGCAAAAAAGGCTATAAGGACAAAATTAGAAAAATTGGTGAAATTCTTCTATGAACTCTGGATTAGACAATTATTATATCTCTGCTACATTTCTTCATTTTAATCAATGAACTACAGTTATAGTCCCTGTGCTCAGAAAATACAGTAATGTAATTATAGATAAAGGAAAATGATGTCTGAAAATTACTATCAAGTAGTTCAGAAGAAAAGTATATATGTAGAGAGAATTAGCGAACAAAAAAGCAAAATGTTAAAAACTGGTAAATATGTAAGGGCATATGAGAGTTTTTTCCTACTATTTTTACAAATTTTCTGTAAGTGTAATATGATATCAAAATAAAATTTTTTTAAAAATCACTGCTATGTGAGTACTGATTTTTAATTAAGAGACTACAGAGGTATAACCAAATGTAATCCATGAACCTTAAATATAGCAAAATATAAAAACCAAAAGAAATCTAAAACACATTCTCTATCTTAACAGTAGTAACAGTTGCTGTTTTCAAACAATTATATTTTAGAATAAAGAAGATAACTTACATTAATGTTTAGCAACCAATATTGTTAGCATAAAAGAGAGATACAAGTATAAAATCAAATAAGAAAATACTCTATTACTTGTCTGAACTGAAATATTATTATAAATTCATGATTCATGATTTATAGTTTAAAAACAAGTTATTAGCTTTGTTCCATGAAATGGCCTGCAATAAATGACAGCCCTATGGCAATGAGAAACTCTAATGCGCACGCAGTGGTCACTGTACACTATATACCACAAGAGGAATCAAAACTCCTTAGAGAAATGGCTCATTTCAGGCCTGGCATAGGAAATGTACAAGGTGATCTTGGGATCTGTTCTGCCAGAAAGCAAATACACTATCAACTCTACTAGAATCATGTCAGAAAGACATAGGAACTGCCCGGAAAGGACTACCAGTGGCTTAATAAAGTGCAGTTTGATATAAAAAAGAATAATGCTAGCAATAGTTTAAAACAAATGGTATTCAAATCAAACGCACTCACTTTTGGAACTCCTTAGAAGTTTGTAGGGCATCAACTCATTTATCTGAAAATTAGTACATAAAAATAAAGAATCAAATCAATTAATCTGCCTTTCCATATGAACTGGGTTTTTTTTTGTTTTGAGACCGAGTTTCACTCTTGTTGCCCAGGCTGGAGTGCAATGGTGGGATCTCAGCCGCAACCTCCACCTCCCAGGTTCAAGCAATTCTCCTGCCTCAGTCTCCTGAGTAGCTAGGATTACAGGCATGTACCACTAAGCTCGGCTAATTTTGTATTTTCAGTAGAGACAGAGTTTATCCATGTTGGTAAACCTGGTCTCAAACTCGCGACCTTAGGTGATCTGCCCACCTCACTTTCCCAAAGTGCTGGGATTACAGGTGTGAGCCACCAGGCCTGGCTATAAACTGTATTTTAAAATAATCAAATACCTGATGAAGAAAAGGTCTTATATATAGAAGAACTGTAACTAATAAATGCTGAAGGAACTGAGTGAATTTTTACAAATCACCATATGTAACCCTTAATGAAATAATGGGCAGGTCTGGTGCCTCATGCCTGTAATCCCAGCACTTTTGGAGGCTGAGGTGGGTGGATTTACATGAGATCAGGAATTGGAAATCAGCCTGGGCAACATGGTGAAACCCCATCTCTACTAAAAATACAAAAATTAGCTGGATGTGGTGGCACATGCCTGCAATCCCAGCTACTTGGGAAGCTGAGGCAGGAGAATCACTTGAACCAGGCGTTGGAGGCTGCAGTGAGCTGAGATCGCACTGCTGCATTCCAGCCTGGGTGACAGAGGGAAAAAAAATGAATGAATCTTGCTATCAATCATAAGTGGACGTTATAATCTTTAGGTCAGTGCTTCCCATCCTTTTTAAAATTTTTCATAGTCACATCCCTAGGAGCCTTTTTAGATACCTTTTCTCTAATAGCCACCACTCTCATGAAATTTGATTACCATAGATATACAATATATATATCTACTGTGGCTCTTTGGAGGACCACAGATCATCGTAATACCTATGAGTTTTTGGGCTCTTCCTTGTCACAAACAAGTTTGAGATATCCTCCACCCTCATTGAGAATGCATGCTAATTTAGGTGCAAAAAAGGAAAGGATTAAATGAACAACATTTAAACACATCAATATGACATCACTGAAAGTGGGACACCTGACTGTAAGGGACTCATGATGCAATGTAATAGGAAGTGCACAGTGCCAACTATGAATTACTTTTCCCTAAAAAGGTGATTTAGGAAAATCTGATCTGAATCTGATCAAGCCTCTAGATCTAGCTGCCTGTTTACAGAAATATGAAGCAATGGAAAACAATTATATGACAGTACAAGGAAGCAGTTAGCTAAAAGCAGAATACAGAATATTCTACAGGACAAATGATCTAGTTTTTCTACAAATCAGCAGCATCAATTAAAACAAACCAAAACAAAACACAGGAGGGAAACTGTCATGGATTAAAGAAGTTTAAGAGTTTTAGCCACCAAGTGCAATATGTGAACTCTATTTTGATCCAGATTTCAACAAACCTACTGTAAAAATATGTCTTTGAAAGAATTGGGAAAATCTGAATATAGGGGTATACCCATATTCAAAAATTTTTAATTTCATATTATGAACTAACCACCATGCTGTTATACCAACATAAGAAACAAACTTATTGTTAGTTTTGTTTGTTTTTGAGATGGAGTCTTGCTCTGTCGCCCAGGCTGGAGTGCAATGGCGTGATCTTGGCTCACTGCAACCTCCGCCTCCTGGGTTCAAGCAATTTTTCTGCCTCAGTCTCCCAAGTAGCTGGGATTACAGGCACCTGCCACCACACTCGGCTAAATTTTGTATTTTTAGTAGAGATGGGGTTTCATCATGTTGGCCAGGCTGTTCTAGAACTCCTGACCTTGTGATCCACCAGCCTTGGCTTCCCAAAGTGCTGAGATTACAGGCATGAGCCACGACGCCCGACCCTGTTATTTTTTTTTTAATGTTAGTATAACAGCATCGTAGTTATTTTAAAATATAATGTCCTTTTTGGTCATATATGTATAGGAGGATAAAATGCAATTTTGAAATACTACAGGAAAATAGGGGGAAGGATTGATACAAACGTATCTACAGATGCTTTTAATTACAAGTAGGTGTTGGACATGTTGGGATTTGTAGTATTCTCTATCCTGCTTGAAAACATCCACAATAGTTAAAATTTAAAAAGTCTTCAAATTTTCCTCCAGAAAAATAGTTATTTTTCATCAAAACTTTAGACCATTAGGTGGAAAGGAGAGGTGTAGCGTGGGTGGGGAGTGGAGCTTGACTGATTAACCCATCCCCGGAGCATCATTTACAGGGTGCCTAAGGACCAGTCACTAGAATGGCTGGTTCTTCGTTAGGAAGACGTTGCTGGAGGTAAAAAGTGTTTCGGAAAGGAAGAAATGTGAGGTTAGAAAGAAAATAGGAACTTCACACAAGACTTTCAGAAGTGCGATATTCTTTTCCTCTGGGTGCCTCTCTTAGAAAACGCAGAACAGAGAAAAGAAAAAATCATAGAGCATCAGCGCTCTCACAGCAGACAAAACAATTTAGAATCACACCAACCTCAAGAGAGGGATTAGTCTTCCTCACAGGGCTCTCGAGCTGGAATACGACATCTTTAACAGTGGTCTTTTCCTAAGACACCTCCAGGGGTAAAGCCTCACTATCAGGGCAACTTCAAAAGAGCCTTTCTCTGCCAAGGAACTGCAGCAGCTGTAGCCGCGCGATTCTCAGCCGTCCGTGTCACACGAGGAGTACTGAGGCCTGGGAGGGGCCAAGGGGTAGGAGCATTACCAGGCGGCAGGTGATCCCACCCCACGGCCACACAAGCGCACACACACACGTCCAGAGCGGAGGAACACTACTAGTAACACACGCCTCTCTAGGCTCCCTATCCCAAAGTGATAGTGCCGATTTTACCCGCGGATAGGGGCTCCAGGGTGCTCTGGAGGAACACTACTAGTAACACACGCCTCTCTAGGCTCCCTATCCCAAAGTGATGGTGCCGATTTTACCCGCGGATAGGGGCTCCAGGGTGCACACTCATAAATTCGGAAAGGAGGAACACAAGTAGCACCACGCCCCCATCGCTCCCGGAACCAAAGTGACGACCCCACCGCACTCGCAAGGCCAACTTCCACAAGTAATTAGCCTAGAGCACTGTCCCTTTCCTGTCAGCACTGAGCCCCAGCCAGGACACCGGTATTCTCAGCACCATACAGGAGCTTCCTTTTCGAAGCTGCAACCCAAAAGCGGCCAGCCGCTCCGGGTGAGGCCACCTACTCACCTGGCGGCTGCAAAGAAGCTCCGTGCGCCAAGACGTAACGGCGTTAAGTGTACAACGCGTAAGTGACGTGGGGGCCTTCGGGAAACGTAGTCTACAGCTGAAAACCGGCGGGGTCGTGTCTGCGCAGGCCCAGTGGCTGTCATAGAGTCCAGCATTCCAGAACCGAGCGATCCCTGAGGTTCCTTTGCTCTTACCCTGCTACGGTCTGAGCCTACCCTATTTCATTATACTCAAGTAACGCCCCAGAAATTCCAGAGAACCTCACATAAAGAGGTAGAGTCTTGCCGTGGTGGCTTCAGGAGAATGTCGTCGCCGGGATAGAAGAGCTGCAAAAGGCTGTCAGGTAAGGTCTGGATTTCTCTGTGACAGAGAGCTCTGGCCGTGACGAGTGGCTACGATACCGGGTTGCTGCCCAACGGTGTTCGGAAGTGTGATGCATTCTTCACGGCCGTTTGTGTGTCTGTGGGCGCGCGTGTCCGTGTCCGAGTGTCCTCTGTGGGAGCAGAGGGGACAGTGGCCATGCCCGTGTGATGTGCGTCAGATTGTGCTTGACACTGTGACAGAGGCTATATTAGTGGCGCATTTAGGATTGTGTGCGGAAGGGTCTTGGGAACGGTTTGATTATAGCTTTGAGGGTGATGTCTGTGATTAATCAGATTCAGCATGCGACTATCTTATAACCTGTGAGAATTTTATTTTTCTTTGCATGGTCATGAATTTAAGATAGATTCCTATGAAATTATATAAATTTACTGAATGATGCATTGAGAGTTCACCTGTGGCAGTGAATGTGGGGAAAGAAGTGTGTGAGCACAGTACTGTGAGGATGGGCACGATTGTATGCAGAGCTGTGTTACAGTGATATCTCCTGGCTTCAGTTTTCTCACCTGTAAAGTGAGGGTGTCAATCGTGTAATGCTTTGGAACAATGCTTTTTAATACAAATTTCTGCAAAACTGGATTCCATTTTTTTATATCTGTGCTCTCCACTACAGTAAGCACTAGCTACATATGGCTATTGAGAAATTGGAATGTGGCTGGTTTGACTGAGGAACTGAATTTTTTAAATTTTATTCAATTTTAATAAATCTAAATGTAAACAGCTATATATGGCTAGTGATCTTCCTATTGAACAGTACAATCTGGAGCATTAATTTGCCTTCAATATTTGAAGGGAGTAAAAACTTAATTCATCTAACAAATGTTTGAAAAATGAAATTCTTAAAATTTATTTTTTAAATTTGACATAATTGTAGATTCATATGAGGCTGTAAGAAATAATAGAGACATTGTGTGTTATTCTCAACTTAGTCTTCTCCAATGATAACATCTTGCAGGACTATCATATGACAATCAGGTTGTTGACATTGACCAAAACAGATCATTTCCATCACCACAAACATGTGTTGTGTTGCCCTTTTATAGACACATGCACTTTCTTCCCTCTTGTTTGAAGATATTCATGTTAACATTAATGATAATGTGGGCATACTTCATTTTATTGTGAGTCATTTCATGCAGATACTGTGTTTGTTTGTTTTAAAGAGATAGGGTCGGTCAGGCACGGTGGCTCACGCCTGTAATCTCCGAACTTTGGGAGGCCAAGGCGAGCTGATCATGAGGTCAGGAGTTCTAGACTAGCCTGACCAACATGATGAAACTCTGTGTGTACTAAAAATACAAAAATTAGCCGGGTATGATGGCACATGCCTATAATCCCAGGTACTCAGTAGGCTGAGGCAGGAGAATCACTTGAACCCAGGAGGCGAAGGTTGCAGTGAGCCAGGATAGTGCCATTGCATTCCAGCCTGGGTGACAGCGTGAAACTCTGTCTCAAAAAAAAAAAAGAGACAGGGTCTCCCTGTCACCCAGGCTGGAGTGCAGTGGTGCAGTTATAGTTCACTGTAGCCTCGAATTCCTGGGTTCAAGGGATCCTCTTACCTCAGCCTCCCAAGATACTGTTTTTTATAAATTGAAGGTTTATGGCAACCCTGCATTGGGCAAATCTATCAGCTCCATTTTTTTCAGCAGTATATACTGACTTCTTGTCTGTCACATTTTGGTAATTCTTGCAATATTTCTTTTTTTTTTTTTTTTTTTTTTTTTTATTTTAGGTTTTGGGGTACATGTGAAGAACATGCAAGATTGTTTCATAGGCACACACGTGGCAGTGTGATCTGCTGCCTTCTTCCCCATCACCCACATGTAGCAGTTCTCCCCATGCTATTTCTCCCCAACTCCCCTCCCCCTGCTGTCTCTCCCCTATTTCCCCCCATCAGACCCCACTGTGTAGTGCTCCCCTCCCTGTG